GTCAATGGCTCCTGTATTTGATTTATTGGAAGCACATATCTAATAGAAGCATGCATAAAACACCATAATGCATCTTGGGATATCTATAATATGACATGTTTTGATCATAGCTGCATCTCAATATCATGCCTGCAGACACAAAATAGGGGGACCAAGAAACAGTTATTTGTGCATACATTGACCCATGAAACCCGAGAGATGCATCTAAATGACTTTTTCCCCCCAAATCAATTGATCAACTGAGATTTGAAAATAGTTCTGGATTCAAAATTGCTTACACCTATTAAACAACACAACACACAGTTTTTATATTCAAAATCAGTTAAGATATTGTGAACAAAATGTTATGAAACATTCAAATAATGAAATTTTGAAAAATGGCCATATTGGATTGGATCAATAAACAGATTGCATGAATATATGTGAATCAACCTTCAGTAAAAACAGTGCCTCGCACAATAATAAAAAATAGAACATGCTTAGAAGATACTGAGCAGAGGAGTATGCCTCTGACAGCAGTGATGTCAACATAATATATTTATGATTGACACTGAAAGTAATAACGAAGCTTACATCAGCTACTCGTGATAATGCCTTGAGTCCATCTTTCAATCGGAATAGCTCAGATACTAAAAACAAAGATGCACAGACAAATGACGGCTGCTGACAACTGCACACCTGAAGTAGGCGTTTGACAAATGCCTGCAAGACAAGGAGAATATACAAGTATGCATGAGTGGATGGAAGGTTTAGTGATAGATGAATATACATAGAAAATATTATGGTCACAAACGCACAACAGTAATTCATGTCAAAGACCTGGAGTGAAATTGCAGTTTAATAAATAATTTCTCTTGGCTTTAATTAACTTCACATCAAATCAGCGACTCAGTGACATAAGTCCTCACACACTGAGACAAAATAAGAGTGGTAGTAGAGTGCTGTATTTCTACATTCTAAACTATAACCTTCCCTTTTCTTAGGGAGTTAGAGCTAAATTGTCACTATTGTACATATGTACAATTGGAATTCCTATTAAATATAAAATATTATTAAATTATTATAAATTATTATTTTGGAAAAGTGGAAATATTCTCAAAATTTGTAATACAAAAATTATAACTATAATAATACATTTCAACCCACTGAGCTAAATTGGGAGGGAGGGAGGGGGGGTTATGATGAAACAGCGTTACCATAGAAACTATCGGTAATCCATAACAAATGATAATTTTGCCATTTGCTAAGTTATCCAAAATTTGTCAATTTCATTCTTTATATCTTTATGGCATGGAACCCAAATTTCATTCAAATTCAATTCAGTCAAAACTTTTATTAACAGTTTAATTTTATAATCCACACCATAGTAGGATAGGTCATTGTCTCCTGTAAAAATAAGTGAATTTATATCCAAATGTTTAACACACTGTAACAGTTATATGGGGTAAATCACTTACTTTAACTCTCTGCAAGACCATGTCAGCTTTCAGTGACTTGAAGAGTAGATTTAAAAACATTTCTTGCTTTGGTGAGTTTTTCAGTTCCGAGTCGGCAAGTTTCTTGTACAAAGCCATGTAGTATCTGTCTGACATTGCCTGCCTGAAAATAAAAATAATCAGAAAGCGATTTCTAGAAGTATTGCAGCAGCAATTTGGGGAACTGTCTCACAAAGTGTTTAACTGAATTTGCATAAACAGTTGGCCTCATACTCAAGACGGTGATTGGTATGTATTCTGACCATGATTCATCATTTCAAGAATGATAAATATCATTGTTAAATTTGAAAAACAAAGTTGTATTGAAATGATATATTAATTAAATTGTCTATTTAATTTCCACATTACAAAGAATTGTAAATCCTCTGGTATATTAGTCTGGAATGGGCGTCGCCATTAGTTGGCACCAGCAAGTTTTGAAAGTCAATTGTACTGTCAAATTCACGAGAAGGTTTAAGTTAGCGGCAAAATAACTTGAGACTTACCGGTACTGTAAACCGATTGTGTCATATACATGTACACAAGCTCTGAAATTAGCATGTTAATGTGTTCAGTTACAAGGTGCTGGTGTAAGAGACAGGATACAACTTATTTTACATTACCTTGCATCCATAACTTGGTGTAACAACATTAAAGCTTGTAATCCTGTCTGGAATGGTGCTATGTGAATTACACGGAATATGGTATCCATTTGTGCATTTACAGTCTCATCATCAACTGATAATAAATAGAAAGCATGTCAGAGAACAGGAACAAGAGGATATTATTTTGAGAACCAGGCCATACTAAACTGTTTTATTTATTACTTTGATCTAGAAGTCAATTTACAGTTTTGGAAATTCCATCACCTTGTTTTATAAGTGGTGAGAGAATTAATCAAAAAAAATATATATCTGGGTTCTTTAACACACACTGAAGAGTGGAACAGTATGAAGAATCGACAGAAGGTAATCTTCTCTATTTGATAGGAAGCCATTCTCCAAACTGATTGTATGGAAAAACACTTTATCCTGCAGAGCTTGGCGATCAAATTAAACTATGCCCTCTATGGCCAAAATAAAAGCTGATCAAATTTTGAGGCCAGCATTGTCAGTACAACAATTTCTTAATTATCAACTGCTGCAAAAAATTCCTTCTTGATGAAGAAAAATATCATAGGCCATTATTTAGGAGAAAGTGCATTTCCACTAGAGGTGCATGTAAATAACTAATATATATGTGGTTTGTATTGGATGTACACCAACTGATCAACTCTGTCATTGTCTTTATTAATGCCTATTTCCACAGCATTTTATAATACATTTGCACCCTAGTGTAGCAAATACATGATGGAATATGGACGCAAAAATGATGTTGTTGCTTTTCTACTTTAAAGACAATGGCTGTAAAATTGACAACTGACATGCAGAATGCCTACTATCGTTGATTTTAACAAGTGATTTCAGTAGATTAATTGTTATTTTGGCTGGAAGATTATATCATTCATATGAAAACTAATAAAATATGTGATATAGATTTTCAAATGCTTCTAAGACTATTTCACAACTGTTATTGTATTTTGTATGATTACCTTTAGCAAACGGATATGCCCGGTTAACACCAGTCAAAAGAGCACTCAACATTTTGCCGTCAATTTCTTTCTTTTTAACAAAAGCCTATGGAGAGAAATTAAATCAGTGAAACTGATGATTGTCATATCAATGAGAGAAATACAGACAGGTTATGTAAGCCTGAAAAATATTTAACACTTATTCTGCCAGCCCCCATTTACTTTTACATTGAATTGACCAGAAATGGGTTAATTTCACTATTTTTTTGATGGAAACAATATATTTTATTGTTAAATTTAAATATATACGTATGAGCTAAACAAGGTAAAATAAAACCCAGTGTAGTGTTTCACATACTGTTTGGTAAACACAAAGTGCTACTTGCTGTGAAGATAGTTGTTCATGACTATCACTTTAGTCATAGGGCAACCACAAATATGAAATTTGATTGACGATTGGGACGACCATGAAAATACAAATTAGAATACAGAAATCGCACTATCACATACACCTGTGTTGTAACTAATATAGTATTGTCAGTGTTCACATGTTGGGTGAAAAAAATACAGTTTTTAATATTTTTGTTAGCAATGAAAGATGACAGAAGTGTATTTTGGCATTCAAAGGTTTCAAAGAAAAAAAACTTTTATTTTATTTGGACCCCCTAATACATGTAATAAGTGCTGCTAATAGAGCTAAAATGGTACATGTAGTCAGAGTGGTTAGTCTATTAAATACTATGGTACACTGTACAGTGGCAATTAAATGACATAATTAATTAGTACATAACGATAACCCCATATATCATAATCGATTTCTATGCAAACACAGTAACTGTAAAGAATGGAATTCACTTACATTAAAAAATGCAAAATAAATGGAGATGAGTTTGGCAGCCAATTCTGGCTCATCATGGCTCAGGACAAACTGATTCAGAAAACATACTGCATAATATCTGGAATAAAATATACAAATATGAAATAATAATATGATCAATGTTATAATAGCGCACAAAAAAGATTTGTGAAATGTAACTCTCCAACACTTCAATTTGCATTCCCAATTTGTATAATATTTTGGCCTTAGTAAAGTTCATGAAAAACGAGAATCATAAAGTAAAGTTTAGTATCTGCCAAAATGCATGCACACAGCCTAGAGTGAAAATTATGCTTGATTTTGTGATTAAAAGCTACAGTGCAGGCAGGCTTCATTGCAGGCAAGCTTCGGTGCAGGCAAGCTTCGGTGCAGGCAAGCTTCGGTGCAGGCAGGCTTCAGTGCAGGCAGGCTTCAGTGGAGGCAGGCTTCAGTGCAGGCAGGCTCCAGTGTAGAGACAGGCTTCAATGCTGGCAAGCTTCAGTGTAAACAGGCATCAATGCTGGCAAGCTTCAGTGCTGGCAAGCTTCAGTATTGGCAAGCTTCAGTGCTGGCAAGCTTCAGTATTGGCAAGCTTCAGTGCAAGCAGGCTTCAGTGCAGGCAAGCTTCAGTGCTGGCAAGCTTCAGTGCAAGCAGGCTTCTGTGCAGGCAGGCTTCTGTGCAGGCAGGCTTCTGTGCAGGCAGGCTTCAGTGCTGGCAAGCTTCAGTGCAAGCAGGCTTCTGTACTGGCAAGCTTGAGTGCAAGCAGGCTTCAGTGCAGGCAGGCTTCAGTGCCTGCAATCTTCAGTGCAGGCAGGCTTCAGTGCCTGCAATCTTCAGTGCAGGCAGGCTTCAGTGCAGGCAACCTTCAGTGCAGGCACAGGGAGTTGGACAAACTTATGTATTTTAATAAATTATTAAATAACGAAATGTTATATAACTTTTCTTTTACCCCCCCCCCTTCCTGGTATCGATTTCAAGTAATCACTGATCTTTGTTTATACCACTCTTTCCTTTATCACAATCTTTGTTACGCGCTAATTTATATGCAAATTTTAACGCACGATGTAGACATACCC